ATTTACTTGAGGTTTTTTCCCACATCATCTTACATATTTCTATTGTTTAGTGGCAACATAAGAAACCCAGGCTTGAGCATGTGATATTTGCCATCCATCACTGTAGCAGGCTAGATCTGCAAGGCAACCTACAGTACCACAGAATGATAGAACTTTTGGAAAGACCTCAGAGGTCATCTAGTCCGATACTCTTATTTTACAGATGAAGGAAGAGCCATGAAAAGGTTAAGTGACTTGCCCAAGGCTACACACTAAGTGAGCAACAGAGCCTATATTAGAATCCAGGTCTCCTTATTTCTAGGCTAAGTCCTCCTTCCACTATGTCTGTTTGCTTCTTTGTAATTGCTGTTGACCTCTTAGGTACTAAAACCAGATGACCACGGTATCTCCCTTACGGCTGGTAGCATTCACCCAATGGCGGCTGCCAAAGGAGACTCTGATGGCACTAACCAGCTTCTATCAGTTTATCCTGCAAGTTTGTATTTTGTGGCAGGAAATGCTGCTTGTAATGTTGTATACTCGCACACAGAAGTGTGCGCATGGAGGCTCTAGTTCCATTCCCGCATTTGCAGATTTGGTGAGATATTGTTTAATATCAAACAGACATTCCCAGTGCATGAGGAGTTGGGTGATATTCATTTGGTCACTAAAGGAGCGTGGGATCAGGAAAGGAGTGAAACAATCAAAGCTAACAAACAGAAAAGATTATATTGGAACCAAATCTTTTATGAAAAACTCCTTCTTAGGAAAAATATTTCCATTCCTTCCAAGGTACCATTTCTTTCCCTCCCAAGCCACATGCAAATATATGTTCAGAATTGCGCGTTAAGTTCACTTGAAATCCCGGGCCCATTAGACCATCGATTTACAAATGCTGAGTTTCAGTCCTCTTGCTCAGAGACTGGGAGAAGCTTGGCATCACTGGCTATGCCTGTGTTTAACTGGGGATATTAACTGCAAGTAGCTCAGAAAAGGACCATGAGATTCAACTGGGGATGGCAGGGAGCAGAACTCCCGGAAGTATTTTTATGTTGAGGATGGCCAATGAAAAGTGGGTTCTCCAGGTATAAGGTCTGCTCTTGGGGAAACTGAGTAACATCTGAGGCTGCTACCTTGTTATAAAACTCATCACCTACAATTTCTTCAGTGAGTTAGAGAAAAATTCCTCTCTTTTGGTAGATGGTCTCCCTTTTGCTCTTTAGAAATGACAGTAGTTACTGCCTACAACCTATAAATCAGGCGGTACAGAAAGGACATGGAGGCCATCTCCAGCCAAAGCTAACAGGAGCTGAAGACCAACAGGCAAAGGCGGCTCTAAATATTTGTCTTTATGTTTTCACAGTCAGCTTTAATTGCAAGTCATAACTTCTATTGAGATCAAAGGGACTTGCCCACTGGTCACTAGCAGGAGAATACTACCTGAATGATACAACATCCGGTCAGACAAAGACATGGTGGGAGCCGGGGGATTCATCCTTCTATGCCTCCAAAATTCAACCCGAAAACCTGCTAACATGAGCCAGAGAGGTGATACCCAAACCAGATGTTTTCAAGGGGGCAAATCAAATGTCACCCCACCCAATCTACAGTAACCAAAACAGAAACCTCTCTGCCATGCCCAAGCAGAGGGTGGCCACTTTTAAAGCAGAAGGATGTGCCTGGAGCTCGAATAGCGACGTCTCCTTAGCTTCCACTTAGAGATGATAGTCCCTTAAGAAAGCACGTGCCATACCCGAGCGTGTGCCAACCTCAGCACCCAGGCAAATACGAAGCCTATGGAATAACTGTAACTAGCAAATATCTGTGCCCTGCATGCTCTGGGCTCTGGCCAGAAGACATCTGCTTCTGGCATCTTCTCTATGTTCCTATAGTCCCCTTTCTGCTGTTTATTTACTACAAAGCAATATGATAACAATACCAAAGAAAATTTTAAAAGGAATGAAATTGTTTTTGCATAATCCCACCGCCCTAACACAACTGATTTCAACGACCTGTGTTCCCAGTCTTTGTCCGTTAAGCACACTTAGTTTTACAAAGTTATAATCCCTGTTTATGTTATTTAAAAGTGATCTGATAGATTCTCTCTGAGAACTGGCAGCCTCGTTAGAAATAAACATCCCAATGCGCAAGGGAATATAGTTATTTACACGATCTTTGAGCTGAGAAATATCCTTTATAGACAAACATCTCAAACTATCAAAACAGTTATACAGACGACAGGAAGCAATTTCATATTTCTTTTTCTTTTAGCAATGGAATGTGCTTCACAGGGGAGGAATAGATGTGGGGGGTCAGGTGGTTAAACTCAACATCGGGGGTGCAATTCACAAGCCTGAAGAAATCTGAATAACACAATTAAAGAATAAATACTTGAGTTAAATCTTCTTACATGACTTGGCCATCCAGTAGCCAAAACGGAACATGGACACACAAATATTTACAATGACACATAGACGAGATCATCAAGAACGAAGTCATTACCCAACATAGTGACTGATTTGGGGGGATTGTGTCATCCAAAAAATCCTCATTGGATTATGACAACGCACCGGATCCTCACTACAACATTAATGTTCTTTTTTTTTTTTTTCTTAAATAAATAATCTCTACTGTGCTTCTTCTCAGCCTTCCCTGACTTTCCCACTGCCCTAGCCCTATCTCAGGACATTTTGGAATCAACATTCCACAAAGTGCCCTCATTATCTCTGGGCATGCTAGCAACTTTAAAGATCTGGATAGACTCATCTGTGTCAAGATGAGCTTAAAAAAAAAAAAAATCCAGAGAAAGGGAATAAATGATTAACCACCTGGAGTCCAAGTTGTTCAAGTGTACCCAAGGTGAATCCTTCAGCATCATTTTGGCAGGAGAAACGGCTTCTTGCTAATACTTATTAGAAATATACATAACTCTCCAACACAGGGGAGAGGCTTTAGAAGCTGTTCTCATTTAAAAATTTACGTAGATATAAATTTGTAAGAGTAAATCCTACTGCACTATATAGCCATAGAATCTTGGTACAATGGGGGCGTGGTGAAGAAGTACCTGGCTCCTAGTTGTTAATATGCAAAACTGAAAGCATCAGAGAGCAACCATTTCTCTGCCTAGAGTGATCCGAAGGATCACTGCTCCAGGTCTCTCCCCGCCCAAAAGACCTTTATGACATATAAGGGATGCTAATCAGCAACTAGGACTTCCTGACTAGCCCTGTGGTTCTCTCCACTGGCAGGGCCGAGTTAGTGTACTGAATTCTATTCACACCCCAGGTATTATTTCACTGAATTCCCTGGCACTATGAATGAAACACTAAAAAAAAAAAATTTAACTTTAAATGAAATAAAAATTAAGGCCTCTCTCTCTCTCTCTCTCATTGGAACAGTGTGGCGTTACAAATTTCAGGCCGAACCACCTTTTTGTCAAGTAGAACACAGCATGCTTCAAATGAATGTTACCATTTGATTTTCTTTTTCGCATCTGTTGTTTTCTCTCACTGTGGGTGTTTTCGGGGGGGGGTGTCAAGCCCCTCCCAACTTTTATAGTCAAAGAAAACAATAGGAAAATGGGAAATCCACCAGCGGTGCCGTTTCCTCAACATAAACACGTGCACTACATGGTTAGCAGAAACTCTCTAAAGAAAGTGCTTGCATTTTAAGGAATGGATGGATGCTTAGATGGACAGATGTACCATAGCAGAGAAGAAGAGAGGCCCAGGCCATTGATCTCTTCCTCCCTCTTGCTGAATGTAGATAGGTTCTTTCTTACTCAGATTCTCAGTATGTTACAAATCAAGAAGCCTTCTATCGCACAAACTGTTAGCTTCTCCAAGGCTTAGATAGGCCACTTTGCAGAATTTATGCAACTGACAATACATTTGAAAGAGAAGCATATCCTTTTCTATGCAGCCACCCTCCAGATATTTTTCTGCTCTCAGAAGATTCAGGAAGCGCCAACTGTTGAATTTTTAATAAGTAGATACATTGTTGGACTGCTACTTCTTGGGATATATGATTGCAAAACCTAATTATTTTTCACTGGAGAATTTCCAGATCTGTCCGAACATGTTTTTGAAATTCAAAAGCTCAAAAGATGATGTCTGACTATGCTATATCCTGAAACAGGAATCAGTGAGACAGAGGGAAAATGGGAACAAGTACTTGGAGCCAAATGTTGACTGGGATGTAGTTTTCACGGACCTCTCATTCCTGACAGGGCTGAATACTTACAATAACTCTGTTCTCCAGGTCTTTTAAGACATTTTCAAAATGTTATAACGTGTCACGTGATTCTGATCATAAGCAAATGTTGGTTAATGGGTCTATTTTCTCCTAATGTGCCTATTTGACAATGCCTGTGTTCCATAAGCACAAGAGAGGATTAAATTAGGTCTCTTGATTTTTGTTTCCTTCTGTCCAACAAAGATCTCAGCATTGCACACTCCTTCTGCTTTCCTTTTGGCTCTCAGAGAAAGTCCCATCTTTGTTTAAGAATGGTTTCTCCTATCGGGGTTTCCCAGGTTAAGGGCCTGGACTCACCCAATAGGAGGGCCACAAGTTTCAGTGTGTCCTTTGTCAGGCATCGTGAAGATGAACGAGCTGGTTTATAGAAACGATACATCAACTACCTCTTAAGCATCGTCGTGAAAATGTTACAGGATCTCACCATTTGAGCTTTATTTGGAGAGGCAACTTTTAAAAGCCCTTCCTGAATACACATATTCCTCTCTGCTTTTGGAAAAATGCCTTAAAAGAAACCTTTTCCAATACAAATGCAGAAAAACAGGTACACAAACCAAGCCACCACTATAGAAGAATAAAAAATTGCAACTCTATTAGGGCATGGACTTCCACATGTTCACACAGTACTTGCTCTGGGGTATTTTTTTTGTTTGTTTGTTTGTTTTGTTTTGTTTTTTTTGTGTGTTTTTTTTTGTTTTGTTTTTGCTTTTTGTTTTTTGCTTTCTTTTTTTTTTAAAAAAGTTTTTGACGTCTTTTTTTTTTTTTTTCCTGGACATCTAATGACAATGCAAGTGAAAAACATCACATTGGGTAAGGAGTTTTGAAGGAGGTTCGAATGCAAGAGGGACTACTCTCTAACTTAAAAACGAACACGACACTATGAAGAGGGAGTGTGCATCTTTGAGAAACCCTTTTTTTCTTCAAAGTGAATGCACAAAATGAGGGGATTCACTACTGGCTCTTTCGCTTCACGGTAGAAGTGACCGCTTGATGGCCACTTCGACATTGCTGCCCTGGTCGGGCTGCGATTCAGGCTTACAAATAAATTACATAATCCGAGGGAGTAGGAAAAAAGGCTTATAAGAAGTTTCTATTCATTTGAAAGTTAAAGATTGCCCCCCACCCCCATTTGACTGTCTTTTCTTCCATCTTTTCTGCAGCAGCGTCTCAGTTCAGTCTTACTCAGGAGGGAGACGGTGTAGGGTGGGCCTTGCGGTCCTAGCGGCTGCTGTTCTTAATCGCTTCTTTTGCGGCGATAATCAGAGGAGTCAGGCTGGAGAGAGGCTTGGCTAATTTTAAAAACGGATGCTACAAAAGGGGGAAAAAAAGAGGAATTACTGGAATCCTTTCCTCCAACAAGTGTATTACCTTACATTCTCAAGAAGCAGCCTTTTTTTCACTCAAATAAATGTACCTTGAGCATCCAATTAAACCTGATTTTATTAAAAGTAGTGCCAGCTTTCATGTGTCTGTTGGCCATTTGTATGTCTTCTTTGGAGAAGCGTCTGTTCGTGTCTTTACCCCAAAGACACAGATGTAGTGAAAAGAAGGGCCATATGCACCCCAATGTTCATAGCAGCAATATCTGCAATAGCCAAACTGTGGAAAGAGCCGAGATGCCCTTCAACAGATGAGTGGATAAAGAAGATGTGGTCCATATATACAATGGAATACTACTCAGCCATCAGAAAGGATGAATACCCAACTTTTACATCAACATGGATGGGACTGGAGGAGAGTATGCTAAGTGAAATAAGTCAGGCAGAGAAAGTCAATTATCACATGGTTTCACTTATTTGTGGAACATAAAGAATAGCATGGAGGACATTAGGAGAAGGAAGGGAAAAATGAAGGGGGGTAAATCGGAGGGAAAGATGAACCATGAGGGACTATGGACTCCGAGAAACAAACTGAGGGTTCTAGAGGGGAGGGGGGGTGGGGGGATGGGTTAGCCCGGTGATGGGTATTAAAGAGGGCACGTACTGCACGGAGCACTGGGTGTTATACGAAAACAATGAATCGTGGAACACCACATCAAAAACTAATGATGTACTGTATGGTGACTAACATAACATGATAAAATAAAATTGAAAAAAAAATCATGCCAGCTTTTGGCCTTCCGATGTTCTTGTCATTCAGTGTCATGAAATCCTCTGACAGCTGACTGGTAGAGCCAGAAACTCGGAGTAGGGGTCTTGTGAAAATCTCACTAGGTTTGCAACAGTCTCGTTTGCTGATCTTCTCAAACTGATGCATTTATCTGGGGCAGCTCTCCTGCTTGAAAAAGTGTCTTTGGTGGCCCTTGACCCTGAAGCCAATGGCTTCTCAACTGCTAAACCCCGGACGGAGCTGTGCCTCCACCATTTTTCTTTCGGCCCCTCTGCAGTATGTAATACAAATGAACATCCCTTCTTTTTTTGAAATGTTTTCCTCGCTGGGGGCCTGTGACATCCCACAGTCTTGGTTCCCTTCCCCGTGCACGCTCACTGACTCCTCCCCTTCTATCTTCTTCCCCACTTTCCCTTCCTCCTCCCACCTCCCAGAACTCAGCGCTCATCCTGTCCTTTTTCTAACTTAATTCCTTTGAGAGCTCACTTTCTTTCATGGTTTTGACCTTTCACCAGATTAATGGGGATGACTCCCAAATCAATACAGTGTGACCTGATCCCTTTCCTGAAGTCTGGTCCTATTTCTCCAGTTGCCTGCTGGGTATCTCCTTCCAAATGTCCTTCCGTCCCCTTGAAATCAACATGTACAAAGGTATGTTAAAAAGTCTCCCACACAGGGTACTCTTGTGTGATGTAAGCTGCAGGGGCTTTGGAATCTGCGCAGCACCTACGTTCAAGTCTCTCCTCTGCTTATTATGATGGTTAGATGAGGTAAGTGACAGTTCCTTGTAAGCTACACAGGGGCTCAGAAATGTTAGCCATGGTATTATCCTCCATCATTTTTGCTTTTACTGCATGCTGCCATTGGGTTGATATTCTAAGTCGCTTTTATCTTCTTCTTCCTTATGTTCTACATATAATCACCTACCGAGTCCTTTCTTCTCAATGCCTTCCACCATCATCTCTTGCCCTTAGTTAAGCCCTAATCAACTGAACCCTCAACTATAACCGTAAGTCCTCCTTGATCTTCCTGCCGCCATTTTGTCCCATTGCTAATTCTTATTGTATTCCACCAGATTCACCTTCCTATACAAAGCTGTTGCCAGGTGTCCCTCAGATATGGTCAGGGTTTGCCCACTGGCTACAGCCCCCCAATTCTATGGCCTGGTGTTCAAGGCCCTCTATGGCCGTATCTCTTACAGCCTCCTGACTGGACCTCTTTACTTCGGCTGTCCGCTTTATTTTCTGTTCCCTTCAACCTTGCCTCCTCCATGCCTCGGGTCACACTATAATCCTTCCATCTGAAATCCCTTCCCTTGTTTACCTCAGCCAGTTAAAGCTGCTCTGTCCTTCAAGACTTGGCAGAACTCTTTCCTGTTTGCAGACACTTTCTGATCACCATCACCTATAAAGGTATTTCTCTAATCAACCATGGCATTTATTGTTTGAATAGCCACTGGGTTTGAATGAGTCTTTAAAAAACCTTGTGTTGTTTTTTTTTCATATATGCAAGGACATCGTGAACTTCTGGAGAGTAGGAACCATGCCTCTAAGGTTTGTATCACCCACTGCAGTGAGCCCTGCACATAGAAGTTGCTCAAAAAACATGAGTTGATGGACAGAGACTTGACTTAGGCCATACAGAAAGGCACACAAATACTCAAGACCTGTGTCTTTTCTCAAGCCTTCTAGGGGGGTGAATGTCATGCATCCCTCTGTTTTCTAGCCCCTGAAATGGGCAGTGATAGGCTGGAGTCGGAGAACAGTGTTCTATGGACTTTGGGTGATACACAGGTTATTGCTAACATGTAAAATGAAAAGAGGCAATGAACTATTCAATTTAGACTCAAAATATAGTTTTGCATTACTTAGCTGACTGGTTCAGATCAAAGTACTGTCAGGGAAGGAACTGACTTGGTAACTGACTCAATGATCTATGTAACTGCATAGCTAAACTAAGAGAACCCATCTCATCACTTCTCCTTGGAACATGTATCGGGATGTGTCTGTGGGTGGTGGGAGGAGTGAGGAGATGTGGGAGCGAGGCACTCTCAAGTTCAGGTTTTTTCATCTGTGATCTGAAGTCGGCTTAAAGAGAGGATCAATGAAGGGCCACTGCAGATTTGAAATTCAAGCCCCTGGGACAGCCTGTGAAATGCTCACAGCAGAAAAGCGAAGGTGTAGCCTCTTTGATTCCCGGAAATCAGTTTATTCCAGGTGTGATTTGGGTCGGGGTGGGATATTTTTGACCTGGGTGTGGCTCTCTGTCTGGAGGGGGTTCGGGAGCAACAGGAATGATTTTCTTTCTTTTTTTTGCCTGGAACAGACTGAGTCGGGGGTTAACACACTGGATAACCAAATGTTGCACCTTATGTTTAACTGGATTAAGTGTTCGAAGTCACAGAGAGAATATGCAGTCACTGTTCTTAGATGTTACAGGCTTGATACATGTCCCCGAGGAAAAGTCCCCAGCACTGGAGTTCTATGTGTCGTCCTGGGCGTGTGTTCCTTTATCGATATAAGCATATATTTTTTTTTTTCTCTAAATCGGTTTGTGTGTTTGTCCAGGGGAGGGTCAGAAAATGCAGGGCTCAAATCCCAGTTCTGCCACTCGATGGCTGTGTAAGCCTCAATTTCTACATCTGTAACGTGGGATAATCCCACCTACCCTATAGAGTTGTTTTCAGAATTAGATGAGAGAATATGTGTAAAGAATTTGGCACACAATCGGTACTCATGATCATCAGATAGACGAATCCCTGAGAGCCATGAAAAGGACAAATGGTTACAGAGGCACTCACCACTGGATGGTACTCACCCAGGCAAGCAGGTGCCTGCCATTTGGCATCACAAGCAAAGGGGCTTTGACCAGTAAAGCATTAGAGTAGCAAATGCCATGGAAATAATTGCATAGTTATGTAGAGAATTACCTCCGGCCAAGAGCACCTGCATACAACATCCAGGGGCACAAGTAAAGTTTAGAACAAAACAGCAACACCAGAGGTTCACAGTTTTCTTTTTCCTCGCAAAATAAGACTCCAGGAAGAACAAAAGAGATTTATAGATTAAACCGCCACCTTCTCAGAAGAAGGGCAACATGCCAATCAATCTTGTCTTAGATGCATGCCCATACTTATGTGCCTGTGGCCTAAAATCAAATGGGTACAGCCCAACTCAAACTAGACATCTCTTGACACAGCTCTTACTGTCACACGTTGAGATGGAAAAGCTTAATATAATCACTCTCTCTTTGTAATTGTCCTATTTTATTTTCACCTGCAAAAGCTCCTTGGCAGATCCTCGCCTGTCCACATCCATCTCAAGACAACGATTTAAAAAGTCACGGAACACAGCTGACAGTCTCTCAGGATTCTGGAGCTCTGGGGTTCCATTAGTGGCTATCAGATATAATGCCTACAGGAAAAAAAAGAAAAAGAAAAAAAAACAACAGAAAAATCCATTCAGCACATACAAATTAGGATCGTGAGTTGGCACAGAAGGTACAAATCCAGTTTCTTCCGGTTTATACTCTGGGTCTTAAAAATTCCATTTTAGAGAATGACACTGACATATATTTCAAAGTTTCTACAACATTTAGAGATCATTCCTCCTGGCAGCAACTGAGGTGACATTGAGGGGCCCCACCCCGAAAACCTTGGAAATAAAGTTATAAGATTGTCCTTTGAGAGTTGAGGAGTACAAATCCATTTATAATGAATGTGTGATTAACCACCTAGGAAATTAAGCCTAGGGATCGCCTGTGCATCTGTGACTCTAAAGACGTGGGGAACACAGGTACACCCAATCATGTTGACCTGTGTACAACCTCCAGAAGGCGCAGTGACAAAAGTGATTGTAATTTACTAAGTGTTTATCTCGTTTGAAGAATGTCGGTGAGCAGACCAGGGATGAACAGAGTACATTACAGAATTAGAGAAGCACAAAGAACCAGAGGATGATAGGGCCTGGATGAAAAGTAACCTGTGAGACCCAAAGAGTCAGGTGCTTTCGTCCTGTGGCAGATGTATCCCTATAGATGATAAGGAGATTTCTCATGAAGGTCTACCTATGCTAAGAGAAAATATGAGAAAAGTTGCCATTAGGAGTCCCGGAACCTGATGATTATGTATCCTTCTGTAAAAATAACCAGTTGTTAACAGATCTCTGAGATCTTTGTTCTGTAGGGCTGCCCCTGAGAGACATCGACAGACTCATTGCGTGCTGATGGAATCAAGGGCCCTAGCCTCCAGGGCGAGAGCCGGACCCAGGTGCCTGATTAATTCACAAAGGTAAACCCATCTTTAGAAAGCTCAAGACGGCCAAAGCGAGGTGGCCATTCCTCATGCCTCCTCTAAACAAACAATTCTAGGGCACTATGTATCAGGTACTGTATTGGACACTGGTGACCCAAAGATGAGTTAAGAGGGGGCGCCTGGGTGGCTCAGTTGGTTAAGCGACTGCCTTCGGCTCAGGTCATGATCCTGGAGTCCCGGGATCGAGTCCCGCATTGGGCTCCCTGCTCGGCGAGGAGCCTGCTTCTCCCTCTGATCCTCTCCCCTCTCATGTACTCTGTCTCTCATTCTCGCTCTCTCAAATAAATAAATCTTAAAAAAAAAAAAAAAGATGAGTTAAGAGAATGCCCTGCTTTCAAAGATCACACAATTGAGTGAGGGAGCGAGACATAAGTAGCTACAATACAGTGAGACAAAAGCCAATGGAGGGATAGAGCAAGTGTTAAGTAAATACAAGGAGGAAGCAATTTACCCTAGAGCTCAGAGGAAGCTTCAGAGGAGGTTGGCATCTGAACAGGGTTTTGAAGGATAAGTAGTTTTCCCTACAGGTATTGCCACCAGGGTTATGTCTGCCGAGGTGACCAACGCTTTAACTGTTATGAAGCCATGCTCCCTCCTGAACTTGCTTGGGATTTGTAGCAAATTTTTACGCCCCCTACCCCAACCCCCTTTTCCCTTTGCCCACCACGGCTCCTACTATTATTATTATAAGTATTTCTATCAAAGTCCTTTCTTGGGCCAGTTTTCATCAGCTGGTAGGGTCATCGCTCCTCCTGCCTAGAAACTTAGGGTTAGGAGGGGCTGTTTCATCCAGTGGCTGTCCACCTCTAGGACACATCAGAGTCATCTAGAAGGCTTGTTAAAACAGATTCGTAGGTCACCCCTAGAGCTTCTGAGTCAGTAAATCTGAAGAGGGGCCCAAAGAATTTGCATTCAAATAAGTTCCCTGTTAATGCTGAAGCTGCTGGTTCCAGGACCACACTTTGAGAACCGGTTTAATCCACCTGGGTAATTAAAGCAATGGGCAAAACTACAGGTTCTCAGACTTGCTTGCACACAGGAATCACCTGGGGAGATTTAAAAGATCCACGTGCTTAGTTCTCACCCCTAAACCAATGAAGTGAAAGTCTTTGGGGGTGGAAGGCAGGCCTCGGTGATTTTTAAGCTCTCCAGGAGATTCCAATTTACAGCCAACATTGAGAACCACTAGCCCAGGACTTGGAGCCCACTTAACCCAGAATCTGCATTGTAAGCTCACCAGACATGAGAGCCACAGAATCCCACAGAGCGAGATTCTCTAACGTGGTGATGGCTGAGAATTTCAATGGCGTATGTTTCTATAGAGTACGATGAAACTTTCTGGTTTTCCCCCCAGTACATTAAAAAAAAAACCCACATGTAAATACAGCCCCCTCCAAACCAACACTTTCTTTCCCCCTACCCCTCACTCCTCTCTGATTTTCAATTCCTTCGCTGACGCACAGCAAATGCACAGGGCAGCTATTGGGACTTCCATGCCAAAATACAAGTCAGTTGCACATCTAGTCTTGACTAAAAAAAAAAAAACCCAGTATGAAAATGGAATGCATTTATAAACTCTTTTTAGGAAATCATCAATCGGGCAAAGTCATATGGTGCACAATCACAGCAGATATATTACATTAAGTTCAAACAGGGTGTTTTGTTCTTGGACGATTAGCGCTCGAAGCACCTGTCCTCACAAACTGTCTTTGTTCCCTTATTAAAAGAAAATTGCTGGCCATGCACATTACATTTGCTGCCGCCTCTTAAAACTGTCTTATTTCCGCGGGCCACAATTCTGCCACGCTCACTGTCCTTTGCTTGCTTTTTTATCTGCTCTGTAGCCAGGCCTGGTCCTAAGCACGCGTGTGTGTGCCTGCGTGCACACACACACACACCTCTCTTTTCTCCTTTTCCACGCTCCCTGGGTCTGCCTGCATGCCTACGTGCTTTCATTTCCCCACCTTTCTTTCACCATTGTGGCTCAATACATTCTCCTCCACGTAATCTCATTCCTCATGAGTACGCATAATCCTCCTCACCTCTCTTTAGCTCACGCCTCATTACATCAGGAAATGCATGCCCCTCTTTCCATTCCACTTAGGAATGTACAAATGACCTTCATCATAGTTGTGCAGCCTGAGTAGGGCTGGTGATACACAGGAGCACAGGAGCAGAAAGCTCTGTGATCTGCTGGGGAATCAGCGTAAGGAGACAGTGCCATGAACCTCTACAGCACTTCACAGAGAACGGATGTCCTTTTCCGAATTTTTACCAAAAGAACGACTCTGGGGAGCCTGGGTGGCTCAGATGGTTGAGCGTCTGCTTTCGGCTCAGGTCATGATCCCAGGGTCCTGGGATCGAGTCCCGCATCAGGCTCCCTTCTAGGCGGGGAGCCTGCTTCTCCCTCTGCCTCTCTCTCTCTCTCTCTCGTGAATAAATAAACAAAACATTAAAAAAAATGACTCTGGTGTTTGCTGTGGGGGTGCGGGGGATCTCAGTTGGTAGCCTAACAAGAGGACCCTCTCCCCGTTGATTGGTGCCGATTTGCTTCCAACGCCCTCGTCCCCCAACCTAGGTGTCAAACCGCAAGACTGCCTTGTACTCAACACTAGATCATTCTGAAGAACTTTGTAAAATATCAAACAGTATTTCTGTTAACTGCTGGCTCGATGAAAAACTACACGTACTCAGGAGAAGGTCGAAAGGAAAACACACCGATATGTTCACAGTAGTTCTCTCTGGCTGGAAAGATGACTCATGACTTCAGTTTTCAAACATATTTTTCGATTTTCCAAATTTTCTACAACGGACACGACAGCTTTTATTATTTAAAAAAAAAACAACCCTCCAAAACATTACTGAAAAAATAAATGTAAGAAGTTGTGCCAGCCAAACTTACACAGAACTCCTCATCTATGTCTGTCTTCCGAGGATTAAACCTGCTTTTCATCAAGTCCTACCCCTTGAGGGAAACAAAAACCCAGACGATTTTTTTCCAGCTATTGTTTTCTTTTTAATTGCAACAGTATTATTTCCAACTAAATTCCATTGCAAAAAATCCACACTTTCAGTTATATTAGGGGCTAAACTGGCCTTTGTGGGACGGCCTGGGAACGTACTCACCATGCATAATGCTGTTTCTATGGGAAAATGCACTCTGAGTTCCAAATGATTAACTTAAAAATGAACTTTTGGAACACGTCCTGTGTGTAAGCTGGGTACTATCTTTGTAAAAAGAAAATTGCTACCCTCTGCCCTGCTAATGGGAGACAAATACAGTTGCAGCCAATACAACAGTCACCACAAAAAGGCTTTTACTAACAAAGTCAAGTCGTACATGAGGAAAGATCGAGAGAAAAGAGATCGAGTGAGGGATCACATTTGGGTTTTATCTGAGTTAGGGAAAAAACTCAAAGAGAGTGAGCTGGCTGTTAGAAGAGCTCTTTGTTGGCACCCCCCACCCCCAGCGCCCGTGACCCATGCATGTGGTTTTCCTACTGGAGTCCCCCAAAATTCCCCTCCAGGGCAGCCAAGAAGGAGAAGAGGCAGGGCAGGGAGATTCACTGTAAAGACTCTGGGAGCCTGTGCCTACACTTGTTTCAATCAGAGACATTTTTCTTTTTTTCTCTATTTCTCTCTGCTTCTGAGCAAGGCTTCATTTGAACCAACGGCTCGCTACGGTCGTCTGAAAACCAGTGGTCCACAGGACACAGTCATGATCCCCGGGCGTGGCATGCATGGTCCTCCATGACTGGGCCCCTGGCCACCTCTGTCGTCCTCGGTGTGTACCCTTCTTCCCCTGCCCCCACCTAGGGACATACATTGGCCAAAGCTCACATACCACAGCCAATTTCACTCTCCTATTAGGTCTGCCTACCACGCTGGCCCCATTTCCCTGAAATGCCTGGTGAACTTCTCTTTGCCCTTTAAGCTCTCGTTCACATGGCATTTCCACTTTAAAGGCTTCTCCATCTCTCCCAGACACAGAGGGTGACCAACACCTTGATTTTCTGGGGACTGTTCCAGGCTTTAGTAGTGAAGCCAAGCAAACTGGGAGTGTGGGTTACCCTGCAGATCGAGTTAGCCGTTCCCTCCTTT